TGTTGGTGCAGGTGGTTTTACTTTGATTTAATATTAGATGAGACTTTCTTTTAAACAGACTCAAAAAAGAAACCTCTGATTAAATACAGAAAATTTGCCGCAAATAGAAACATTTGTGTAGATATTTATTCATGGATTTAATGAATGCCCTGCTAATATTTATGCTCACAAGCCACTGCTGTCAGTTTTACAGATAATGAGCCTAAATTTGATGACGTAGCAGCTGAGAGTCATTCACAGCACACTCTCCTCAGAGCTTGCCTAACATTTTTCAAGGTTTTAYACCAACACCAGCAACTCTGATGTTTCTCATTACACGATCACAGTTTAAAACTCAGGRGGATAAGCATTCCTTTAAGGGTGGCTAAGCTTTTAATTTGTTGTTACWGTGGAAAACATTTTTACATCCATACATCTAAAATGATGCTATTTACTGTGCTGCTTRTTTCTCTGATGCCTGTTGTGTTGCTCAGCTGCCACAGTCAGAAGCAGCCTCTGATCACACCCAGGAAACTGTTCTCTGCCCTCATGCATGTATCCTGTGCTGAGAATACTAATGTGCTGCTGGCCAAACATGTAGAGGGAGAACCCATACTGAACAGATCGTGTTTCACACAAACCTGAACTTATCCTGATGAGTGTTGTCTTTGAGACATGAAGAAAGCTTTAGAAATGGTCAAACTGGATTCAACGAAAATCAAGAGTTGCTCACAGGACATCAAATGAGCTCTGATTATGTTTCAGAAACTGGTCGTTTAGGCCGTGCAGACAAAACAGAAGGCGTCCATCCATCCATATCCCTAAAGGTTTTTTTAATCTACTGTACTCTGCAGAGGATGTTTCTTTCAGCTGCTAGTGTCATGGTTTGAGGAGAGTAGGACCCCAGGAATGCAGACTAACATCAGGAGTTTTGCGTAAAAATTGTAAAATTAATCAAAACAAAAGGCTGTTGTGGCAGCAAAAACTATAAATTAAGGAAACTCCAGGAGAAACTCAGGAGAAGCAGACCTGGCATGATGCATACCCACCGTCAGACTGAATGTGAGGGATAAGCTGCAGGTTGTTAGTAGCTGTGTTTCCATTGTAAATGTACGCAAAACTTTGTTGATATTCTGTTAATGTCGAAAAATACAGTTCGCAAATGCGGTGTTTCCATTAAGTAAGAAATGTTAATAAAGTCACGTGAATACGTTTGTTCTCATGATAAGTCATTACAAACAT